TACTGTAATGTGTATGTTTCTCTGCTTGTCTCTCTCCCCTTTCCCCTGTGTGCAGGTGGGTGGTTGGCGGGTGCTCTGGTGTGGTTTACTCCTTCTTTCCTATCAAACTTCTATTGTCCTTATCTCTCCTCCTTCTTTTTTGTGTATGTTACTCTCTTGTAACACATATGTTCTTCTGCACTTATATAACCTTATTGTGTTGCAAGTGCCGTAAAACACTTACTAAAACAAACATTTATCGTCCTGATCTCTCCTCCTTTATTGTGTTTGTTACTCTCTTGTTACACCTCTAATCTTGGGCACTTATAGGTCCTTATTGTGTTACAAGTGCTGTAAAACTTTTACTAAAACTATCTGTGTGTGCAGGCTGGGGGCTCCTCCCTAGAGATGCTGACTCAGTGTTTTGAGCGTATGTTTGCCCGCCTGTCCACGGGCCGCGTCTCCCTGGAGTCGGTGCTGCAGCTGTGGCTCACACTCAACGAGGACTCCAGCGCCGCAGAAGCTGCCGCGAGCTCGGTCGGTGTGCCCGCCGGTCCTACCAGCAGTACGGTGTTCGATCCCACCCGTCAGCCCATGATTGGGCTCAGCGAGAACGCCGTGGCTAGTCTGATGGAGGTGAGTGGTTCATGCCTCAGCTTATTCATCCATCCAAGATTAAGTTCTTCTGTCTGTCCATCAGTTCACCCAGAGTGGGTTGTTGGAGGGTGCCACTCTTTTGTTTCTGTATGTCTTTCTTTCTTACTGTGGGTGGCTGGCGGGTGCTCTGGTGTGGTTTGCTTCTTCTCTCCAACCGAACATCTGTCGTCCTTATTGTGTTGCAAGTGCCGTAAAACTCTTACGAAAAAACTGTCGTCCTTATCCCCACTCCTTCTCTTTTATTTTTGCTACTCTCTTGTAACGCCTCGAATCTTCGGCACTTATATAACCTTATTGTGTTGCAAGTGCCGTAAAACTCTTACTTCAACAAAAACATGTCCCTCAGTTCACCCCGAGTAGGTGGTGGTAGGGCGCCACTCGTTTGTTTCTGTATGTCCTTCTTTCGTACTATTCATCCATCTGTCCTTCCCTTCCATTCGTTCATCCGTTTGTCCGTTTCATCCATCTCTCTATCTTTATGTTCTTCCTTTAATTGCTTCATGCATGTTTAGTCCAACCATCCCTTCGTCCTTATATCCTTTCTGTCCCGCCCATTCGCCCATATAATTTTCCCATCTATCCATATGTCCATCCTTCCTTCCCTCCATCCATTCATCCACATGTCCTTTCAGTCCTTCCCTCTGTCTATCCATTATTCCATATGTTTTTCCAATCAATTCCTCCATCCATCCATTCATCCACATGTCTTTCTCATCAATCCATACCTCCAAATAATTATTCCATCGTCCCATCCATCCGTCCATTCTTTCACCCCTGCATCCATTCATTCCATTCATCCTCCCTTTCATCTGCCCCCCCCCCCTTCATTCTTATCTTTTCCATCCATGCATCCATACATCCATGTGTCTTTTCTATCCTTCCCCCCATTTATCCCTATTTTCTCTCCGTCCATCCCTCTATTCATCCATTTATCACTGTGTTCTTTCCATCTCCCCTTCCCCTGGGTGGGCGACAGGTGGGTGTCCTGATGCCGTGCATGGTTGTGCGTACCTGGGTGTACCTGCTCCAAGCTCTGTGCCTGCTCACCAACCAGCGCCGGCCCGGCACTCAGGGGGCCGAGGGGTCCCTGGCCACGTGCGTGCTCAACAATGCCAACCTGGCGCCTCTGCTTACCAAACTCCTGTCCAGCCACGCGCCCACAGGCTCCCCCGCCTCGCTGTCCCAGCACTACCAGGTCAGACTGTCCTTTTGTTTGGTGGATTTTGTTTGTGTAGCGTTTTACGTACGCATAGGCTCATTGATTTTTAAAATATTATATCTTTATTAACCCCGGAAAGCTGAGACTGTTTGGGAGTGTTCTATGGTCTGCTGGGGTAATAATATAGTGTAAAGCGCATAGAGCCTGCTGTTGAGCGGGGATATGCGCTATACAAATGCTATTTATTATTATTATTTAACTGTATCCTCCGTACGCCCTGGGGTCATTTTCTACCCCCGGGGTTGCATTCTTCACATTTTAGTGTACTTCTAGTGCAAAGATCTCTTTGAAACTTTCAGTATTTCTCAAAAAATCATTTTGACAGACTGCTATGTAAAGCGTACGGATCAGATAAATGAGCAGATTTCCTCTTTGTAAAGTGGTGGCACAGAGTTCCCCACGTCATATGGATACAATAGTAAAACATGACGAATGGATAGGTTTAATGTAATGCGCACTGAGCATTTTTTAGAAAATGGAAATGCGCAGCATAAATGTTATTTATTTTGATCATAAAAGGTTTTTTGGGAGGAGGGGGGGATCTAAATGTTAAACGCCACACCCCTCCTCCGTCTCGTCAAAAGTGAAGGAAGAGGCGCAGGGTTGGATAATAACATAATTAAAGGGTAGTGTCGGGTGTTGTGAAACATGGTGTTGTTCGAGAAAAACATTGTATTGATGAAGAAATTATGGTTTGGATTGAGGAAAAACCAGGTTTGGCTTGTGAAGGTATAGATATCTAGACTTATTAAAACAAAAGGTCCCTGGTTTCAGTCCCATGCGCTGGAAACTGAGGTGTCTCGGGTTTTGTTTTGTTTGAGTTCAGTTATGGTTGTCTCAATAGAACATAGGCAATGACTGTTTGTGGAGGTTTTTTACACCCCAGATGGGTCTGGCAGTGACTCATTTGTTTGTGTATGTTTTTGTTTTTCTTCAAGATGGGTCTGGCAGTGACTCATTTGTTTGTGTATGTTTTTGTTTTTCTTCAAGAT